GGGCTGAACAGGGGTTAATCCTTCCTATGATGGAAGCCATCAAGTCCTTTGTCTCAGGTTCTTTCGGCCATTACGGAGAAAAGCATCCCTCACAATAAAAGAATCCAGCTTTTAATATAGAAGATCTTTTCTCTGAAATTTTCAAAAATAGAAATAAAAGACAGCACATGCTGCTGCCTCATGATTGTTAGACAATTTTGTGGAAGGTTGTGGGCGTGTGCCCAATTTTGACCACTGGACAGTAATGTAACTATTGCTTTTCCTTGTTCTCTACCTTGTTTCTCATTTGCTGCTCAGATTGAGTTGAGTGCTGGGTATTGTCGTTGATTGGTATTTGGCGGTGATTGCACACTACCCATCCGTATGCCAGAAGGATGATTTCCCTGTTATCTCGAGGCTTGCTCTAATTGGTATTGTCTAATCGTTGTCATTCTAAATCTGTCCTAGGCTTAAGCCCCCATTTTACAGGCTCATCAGATCCGACATCCCTTTTCAAAGGCCCGGCAGCCTGGTGGCTGGAAACCTGTATGGTGGCTGGAAACCTGTATGGTTAAGAACGCCGCACTGCTTCTTCTTCTACCCTGTGCTTCTTGTTTCATTCAATTTCTTCTTCTTCATCGTTGTCTTCTTCTTCTCTTCTTTTGGTTCTTTTGCTTCTTCTCCTCCTCCTCCTCCTCCTCCTTTTTTCCCCCTAAGAGCATTGCTGCCCTCAGAGTTCGTCACGAACAGAAAATCCGGTGAAGGCCCTGCTGATGCTGGATGATGACATTCACAATCAGAAAAGTAAGTGATTTCCAGGGAGGCCGGCAGGTGGTGAGTTGGTTTTCCACTTATTGTGCATGTGGTGTCTGATTAAGTTTATCAGCCCATCTGCGCGTGATTATCTTCACAAAAGTAAGTGCGTTTCATATTTACGATTTAGTGGTCCATACCTAGAAATTATGCTATTGCATTCATCTGCACTTCAAGGTTGACATGATCAGACAACAATTTCTTTTTTGCAGGGGCTGGTCCGTGACCAAACGGGACACCACCAATGGGGTGGCTACGCACAGCGGTTGCTGGACCCTCAGGAAGGGCTCTGGAAGCAGCCAGGAAATGGAGGGCATGATGACAAGGCTCACCCACCTATTCACCCGACCAAGTTCTCTGCCGGGGAACCCAACTGGTCACCCAGTCATCTGGTACGTTCCATAATGACATTATGTGTGAAGTAGTCAGCTGAATGACTTCATTTTGTGAGTAACAGAACAAGAATTGCTGAAAACCACAACTGCGTCCAAAGCAAAATTGTTGAAAGTTTGTTTTGCACAACCCCACACAACCCCAGACATCCCAACTGTCAGGGAGTTGGGCCAACGAAAGTCCAGCACCTTGGTTGGGTAGGCCAAACTACATACCCCTTGTGCACCAGTCTGATCACCGGAAAAGTTGCAGTGCAGCGGTCATTTACGGGTTCAGGGGTGGAAGGAAACAGGGTGTTCAAATCTTCATTGAGGGTCGAGTGTACCATTTTCCTGTGTCCTCACTTTTGTTATTGCAGTCACCTCCTAAACTTCAAGGTTGCCACGATTGCACAATAATTTCTCTCTTGCATGATGGGACTTGACATCCTCGATGGGACGGCTGCACACAGCGGTTGCTAGAACCTCAGGAAAGGCACATCTCTTTCTTTTTTATTGCGCTAGGCATGGTGGCGTGGTCTTTTTCATGTGATAATGCTCATTCGTGGCATCATTGACTACAGGCACTATTGTGCGTGTGTCTCCAGTGACTGTTAGTCGCCAAACCTCCCAGACTCACTTGTTCATTACTGTTCTTCTTTCTTCCCCTTCCCTTCTCCCAACACCCATTACTCAGCCGCACACTGATCCACCCACCCCTTGGGATGCTTTGTTTTGCCTTCCGCTATTTGGAGACGGTGTGAGATCTCTGATGTAAAGAGGGAATGCTGTGGATGAACTGGTGAGTTGGAAGCTGACGATGAAGTATCTGATCTCCTGCATCCACCTTGTGAAATGGCTGAAAAGCTGACAACTGCATGCTTAAGGTTCTAAACAAATCAATATTAGTATTATTAGATGATTACTCCTGGAGCATGCATGCAAATATGGCAAAGTGCAGAACAATGAACATCAAATTTGGACCTTCTTAGAATTGCCGTTGAAACTCTACAGAATTGACTTTGGAAATTTGCAAAGTGAGATCTGAATGTTAAGAAATTTGTGTTGAGTCTGAAGATTGAAATTTGAAAGCTACCATCTGGATTGATGTTTTTGAGGATGCCCCTTCTGATTTATCTGCCAGTCAATTCTGAACATTGGGTCAGTTTATGGTACATTAGCCATAACTCAGATGCTCTTCTGAAGAGCTCAAGTGTGGATGGCCTACAAGCAAAGGATAGCCCACAGGCAAACATCAAACATCATGAATAAATATAAAATGTTTATTCATAATGATCACCGTTTTTTGCGTCTTGAGCACCAAATTGACATAGCGACCACTGTCAATGCTGTGTTTTCATTCCTGGTGTCTGCAGCGTCTCTATGAGCTTGTAACAAGGCATTTCCTGGCATGTGTTTCTCAGCCAGCTCTTGGGTATGAAACGACGGCAACAATTGACATTTCAGGAGAGAAATTCCGTGCACGGGGATTGATGATCACAGCTGTAAGATTTCAGAAACTCCACGCCACATGTTACCAATACAAATACAATGCATACTCGAATTGGTGTCTATTCAAGATTCATTGCCAACTGCAGTGATGGCAATGCGTGCAGAGCTTCTTCTGTACTCCCTGCAGAACTGTTTTTCGACTCAGACAGTGCTTTCTTTGATTCTAGAATGACCTCTTGTCCTCTATGACAGCCCCGCTCTGAGTACCCCACCAAACAAAAGAAAGTTTGTTCGGAAGGCCCCTATACGTAAAGCATAGGGGCTAAGGCCACCTTTTAGGAGAGGAATACCCAAAGCCCCAAAGTTCTCCCTTGTCTAATCAATCTTGTGGCTTTTTCTATGATTCAAAGAGTTGTTCATGACTCTGTACACCCTGTTGCCCCTGAGAGTCTCCGTACAGGATTTTAAACTGTGTTGCCAGCTGTCCAATCACCCGACACTTACACCGGACGATTTGGTTGTCCGGGACCCCAGTTGTTCAGAATTCTGGACAACTGATTTTCAGCCAATCGGGGCGGCCCACGTGTCCCCCGACAGGCTGTGCTGCCCGTGCTTGCAGCGGGGACCCTCAGGAGAAAATCTGGGGCAATTTAGAGGAAAAAAGAAAAAAGTGCAAGGAAAATGAGTGAGAGTGAATGGCAAAAAAACAAATTGCATCATCACCAGGGTTGCACCCGGCGACAGTCGGTGGCCTTTGACTGGTCGGCTGCCGACCTGCCGACCGATCGGCTGGTCGGCACCTACCGGTCAGGGGTCGTCGGCGCCCCTAATAACGCCACCAACACCCCCATAGCGGCCCCCAATACCCCCATACACGCCCCCAACACCCCCAAACCGCCCCCAACACCCTC